CACCCCGTGGAAACACCCTCAGCTTTTCTTCTTCCCCTCCCATTTTTCCTTTCTGCCACCCTTCCCCACAAGAACAGATACTATATGACAGTTTTCCATTAATTGCAGGGACTAATCCGCAGTCCCTTTCAGCCTCATTCATTCTTTCTACCTGACCTTTCCTCGTTTTAAGTATCTTCAGGCCACCTCTTTGAGAATTGGGCTCTTTATCAGTAGAAAGAGTAGCTGTCTTCAACCTAAAAACTCATCCACTAATCACGTGCGCCATCTGCCTCCAGCACCCAATGGCATTATTTAAGGAGGAAGTGGCAACTCTTTCTCCCGAGTGTCGTGGTCAAGTAACGAGGCGTGGCCTGTCATCCTGGTGGCCTCTCAGGACCGCCCCGTGATGGGCGACCCTGTCCCAGGGACCTCGCCTACTCTGCCAACCCCTTTCCCTGACCTCTGCAACTGTATTCCGGGGTTCAGAGCTGACCATGCACATACTCGAAGCAATAAGCAATTTTCCTTCCATCAGGCTACAGTTAAAATCTGTGAGTTAAGGAGAAAGAGAAGCTGAGGGTGTTTCCATGGGGCGCCTCTGGTTCAGTTTTTTCCGGCACCCGGCACGCGCGCCTCAATTGAACAGGTGCTAGAACTGTGCCTAGTCACACCGTGAACAGATTCGGTGTTGTAATCGAGTTTTGTTGTTACTCATAGGTTTATTATAAAGTGAAATTGTTTTAACGCTCTGACTTTTCTTTAGAGTCTTCTATTTAAATGGGGTAAAAAAGAAAAATACAGCCTTTACCCTGTTTTGTTTTGTTTTGTTGCCCCTGAGGTGAGCACATATAAGGGAACAGAATAGATAGAGATTCACAAATATATAATACGCAGGTTGATATAAAATAGTAATATAATGACTTAACAGACAGGATTACAGTCCCCCCGATTTCTAGGCATAGTTATAAAAAATGTCTCCCATAATTCTTTACTTTTTACGAGATTTCATATACAATCGAGTTCAGACAGTCTTGTGTTACTATCGTCCCCATTCGTGTGTGACTTGACCAAGCTCATGGAAATTAAATGCCTGCGCTGCAGTCACTCTGCTAATAAGTGCAGAACATCAGACACGATCCTAAGGTCTTAAAGTGACGCGAGAGCCACCATAACCATAACCAATACGCCCTACGCGATGTGCAAAACACCAGAAAAAGGAGGCAACAGTTTTTATTTTGTCCAACATTTTTCGTATTTTACTGTTCGGATGTTGGAATGGGATACGTGTGTGTGTGTGATCACACATGGGCACACACGCATACATGCAAGGACACCGTTTTGTGTGACGAATCATGGTGGTCTACATGATCAACTTAGAGAACCAAGCACCTAGCATGATGCTAAGTACCTTATGTACATTAACTCATTTCATCCTCAAAACTGTGTTGGTCGCAGTATTCCAGGGAGTAAATTGAAGCTCAGAGAGCTGAAGAAACATGCCTAAAGTTACACAGTAGGTTAGTGGCAGACTTTTCAGAGTCTCTCTGCTCACATCCCCCGAGCATCAGCTACGAGCCCCTCCTATGTGCCAGGCACAGTACCAGGCATGGTGACAGGCGTGGTGACAGGTGTTTCTGCATAATCCTCACGACAGCCCTACTAGGTGGATGATATTATCTCCTTTCCCACAGATGAGGAAATCGAGGCTCGAAAGATTGAATAATTTGCTGAAGAGCCCTTGACTAGTAGTCGTTGGCGAGCGGGGATTGATCCCGGGGCCGACAGCACAGCCTGTCCCCTCCCTCCGCCCCTCCCCCACACCCCCATCCTCTTGGGCACTTCCTCCTGGATTAGGTGGGGGCCGTGCTTGGGAGGTAAAAACTTCTGAGTGTTCACATGTCAGTCATGAGAGCGAGAGACCGTTAGGAAAAGGTAGGGTGGCGCGTGTCTGTGACTGACATTCGCGTGCCCTTAACTTTCAGGAGCTTCGAAACGCTCAAAGCGAGCAGCTCATGGGCATCCGCCGCGAGGAAGAAATGGAAATGTCTGATGACGAGAGCTGCGACAGCCCGCCCAAGAAAATGAGAGTCGACGAGTCAGGTAACGTGGACGATGGCCTGTCCCCCCCGAACAGTCCCAGAACGATTGCCCTAATGGGAGGTGGGGTCACTACCGGGAAAGGGTCGCACAAGTCACGTGTGTTTGAGTTACACCGAGCTTTCATCTCTGAGTGACGCCTCCTTCCATAATAGACTCGACCCTCCCCCTTAGGGACCTGGTGATTTAAGTCGCTCCAGTTCTTTCTTGACGCGCTGGCCTGGGGCCGCTCTACTTCCTTTAGGGATGTTCGCCTGTTCCCATACAAATCCTTCGCCAGAGCATGGCGGCCACTGCTGTTGCGGGAACGCAGGTGAAGTCTAGTTCCAGCCGGGGTATTTCTGCCATGTGAATCATTTAGTCCCGAAAGAAGCTTTCTAACACCTGAGCCAATGTGATGGAGAATTAGACTTCTTTCCAATAAACTTTAATCCACCTAACCTGTCATCAAAGGGTTGGTCTGTCAAGTACAAAGAAGGGGACGTCACTCTTGAGTTGTAGAAAGGAGAGCAGCTCGGAATGAACCTTGGTTTGTGTGCTGTCGCATCTGAGATACTGATTTCAAACTCCTCGGGTTCTGTCGACGTAAACCCCTCGGTGTTGGAAAAGCAGGCCGGGGAAACGCATGCTCAGACACCAAGGGGGGCGGCTCGTCCAACGGGAAGAGCACTGTCCAAATGGCCTGGGAAGAACCACAATCGCCGCCGTTGCCAAAAAGGGAGACTTAGGGCCGTAGCATGGATTTGACCAGTGATGCGCCGGTGAATAAGACACTCACCCGTCCCGAGCTTTTTAAAAGAACCATCCAGGTGACCAAGAACAGGGAACCTTTGCTCATTTGTAGGTAGAAGCCAACATCGACATTCCAAACTGGGTCACCATGATGGCAGAGCGGGCAGAAGGCTCTGTGTCTCGGGGGCTTTATGAGAGAGAACAGCCCATGGGGAAAAGCCCCTTCCGCAGGGCATGCCAAGGGGGGTTCATGTCCTTAGAGCAGTGGTTCTCAAAGTGGGGTCCCCGGTCCAGCAATACCCTCACCTCGGAACGTACTAGAAATGTAAATTATCGGGCCCTACTCAAGACCAGCTGAATCAGAAACACACTCTCTCTCTCTCTCTCTCTCTCTCTCTCTCTCTCTCTCTCTGAGAGTGGAGGTGAGATCCAGCGATCCCCGATTTAAGCCTTCTGGGAAATTCCGATGCCTGCAAAAGTTTGAGAACCACTGCCTTAGACAAATTTCCCTTTATCCTCGAATTCCATTCATTAAAATCTTTCAGGAGCTTAGCATGAAAGAAGGCACCGCGCCACTGTTTATCGAAGTCATAAATCCTTTGTCTGAAAGACGAGCCCAGCGTTTATGTGTCGATGTATGTCTCCTATTCAGTCGAGTTTCTTAGGACGGCTCAGTTATTGGGTTTGGATTGCCTTCCTCACAGTATTTCTGTCCTACAAACCTTCATATAGCAAAAGAAAATAGCGAGTTTTAACGTGAGCTTCTTAAATTCAGTGAAATAAAAATTGTTTTCTCAACAAAAAAAATTTTCATTTTTGAAGTTCCTAGAGAGAGGCCAGGCAGGTTTATGTGAAACTTGGATCCTTAATAGCCTCGTGCGGTGTACGTAGGAGAAAAACATTGAGTTAATCAGAAATTTTGATTTG